ATGATGCGAATGAGCGTGGACATGCGGGAGTTGCAGAAGTAGCGGTATATTGAAATGTTCGCCTATGAATGAGAGGGAGAGGTAGACGATAGGCGTTGCGATACCTACAGCTGCGGAGATTAGAAGGCCGGAGACAGCTAGAGATGCTAGCGCCTCGACTTTGCCTCTTCCAAGCGGATAGATGTTTGACTTTGGCTTATTTGAAGCCGAGACCGCTGCAAGGGTAGTGACGTCTGCGGCGACGTCGACAGCGGCGTGAGCGGCATCAGCCAGCAAAGCCTGCGAAGAGAATATCCAGCCGCCGATTGCCTTTACGCCTGCAATTAAAACGTTTGAGGCAAGACCGATTTGTGTAATGCGGGAACGCGGGTCAGACGACGGGCCTAGCAGGAGTTTCGCGCCTTCATGGTGATGGTGATGATGATGACCGCCGTGATTGTGCGAGCCGTGGTAGCGCACTGTGGGTTTGGCACGCAAGAAGTAAGCGTTGACGATTATATGATGGGTTCTGAATGTTCTATTTAGTGGTTTTAATATGATCATTGCGATTGATTCATTCTAATTGGGCTGTTGAAGGTTAGTATGCCGATTGCGTATGGACGGAATTGTGGGTTGATTCAGATTAAAAAATTTAGTTACCAATGGCCTTTTTATCCGTATCATGACATTAGTCGGAGAGGGGTAGCTTTGTTCATCATTTCAACAAGGGCGAAGTACTTACTATATAAATATTTATATAAACGTTTGAAAAAGGGACGAAGACGGGGCCAAAAAAAAAATGGTGCAGAAAAGAGAAAAATAGGGGTGAAGTCGGAAGTTGGGAGCGAGTAGGTTTAGAGCGGAAACCAACAAGGATCACAATTTAGCCTTGACATTTGCAGAATAGAATGCCTTATCTCCTTTGCGTTCTCGAAGTTGCCGTCTGAGAATCTTGCCTGATACAGATTTCGGTATTGTGTCTATTACGACAACACCACCCCACAATTGTTTATGTTTAGCAACTTTGGAAGCGATAAAGTCACAGATCAATGACGGGTTAGCAGCGGCTGCAGATCCAGGTTTCAGCACCACAAAGGCGCGCGGGTACTCAGTAGCTTCGTCTTCGTTATAGATACCGATAACTGCCGAGTCTGTAACGTCAGGATGTGATAGCAGAATATCTTCTAGCTCGGCAGGAGCCACTTGGTGACCTTTTGACTTGATGAGTTCTTTGGCACGGTCCACGATCGACCAGTAGTTGTCTTCGTCGATCATACCGATATCACCCGTACGAAACCAGCCGCCTGGAAGGAACGCAATTGCATTTGCTTTTGGGTTGCGGTAATACCCGAGGCAGATGTTAGGCCCGCGAATACATATCTCTCCCGGCTGGCCACGCGGCACATCGTTCAAGTCCTCGTCAATCAGCCGTGCCTGTTGATTCGCCATCAGGAACCCGACTTTGCCGACCTTGCTTTCCGGCCGATTCAGTTTCGTAAGATGACTCGTCGGCCCGGTCTCGGTCAGCCCGTATCCTTGCACAATAGTCGTGCTGGGCAGATTCCGTTTAACGGCGTCCGAGAGTTCCTTCGAAAGTGGCGCCGCTCCGCTGTTGATCGCGCGCAATGTCTTGCAGATCTCGTCACGTTTCTGGATAACGTATGGGTGCTTAGCAAGCAGTACAAGTACTGGTGGCACCGTCATGATCGCGGTCGCTTTGTACTTGATAATGAAGTCGATATACGTTTCCAGCGCAAACTTCTTCATCACTACCACCTTACAGCCTGCATACGGCGCAGACATCAGCACCATAACAAGCCCAAAACTGTGAGACTGTGGCAGCATCATCACCTGCGTCTGCTGCGAGTACATAAAAGGTGCAATTGAAACAGACATTAGCACATCAGCTGCTATATTGTACTGCGAGAGCATCACCGCCTTGAACTTGCCTGTGGTACCCGACGAAAAGCACAGGTAAGCGGGTTTCTTAGTAATTTCCTCTTCGGTCAGTTTGATCGGGTAAACTGTCGGGCCCGGGGTCTCGGCTGATACAAGGAACTGGTCTATGTCGATCACGTCCTTCATGGTCACTATAAGCCGGTCGGTCTCCTCCTCGGGGTCGGCGGGACCCATAGATAGAGCTTCCTGAACGTTCGCATACAGCGGTTTTTGTGCAAACAATTTTTTGATTCCAGAAGTGATGAGAGCGTGACGCACTTCGCCAGCGACATAAGTCATTGCTAGCGGGCTCACAATTGCGCCCAACGACATGCAGCCGAGGTACATGGATGTCATCAGCGCCTGGTTCATGCTATAGACACCGACGACATCGCCCTTGATTATACCGTATTCCGTGCGGAGCATGTGTGCGATTCTTCCTGCAACGTGTCGAAGGGCTATAATATCATATGACTTGTCTGTATACGGATCAATGAAAATCGGCTCGCCAGGCGTCGCTACACCTCTGTGCAGGATAAGCTCGGCAAGATTGATCTTAGGCGGCAACAGAGCATACTCGGGGGACTCGTAGATAATCTCTGGCATTGTTTAACAGCGCTATAATGATGTATAGCGTATTTTGTGGGGTTCATGCAGATATATATATAAATGTGGGGGATCTGCTTAACCGAACCATTCATTTTAAGGTTCACGATACCCCACGCTGCGGGGGACACTTCTGTAGCGATATATACTCCGACGGAGCTTAAAAGGAAGGACAAGGGAGCGGCTATATAGAATAGAAACTTGTCTATTTCCTAGTTATTTAATTTCCTGTATAGTTATCTGTCTTAAACCGCGACTACAATTTAGCCTTCACTTTGGCTGAATAGAATGCCTTGTCGCCTTTACGCTCTCTGAGCTGGCGACGAAGGATCTTTCCAGATACAGATTTAGGGATCGCGTCAATGACAACCACACCACCCCACAATTGCTTGTGTCTAGCGACTTTGGACGCGACAAAATCGCAGATAATCGATGGGTTAGCAGCGGCTGCGGACCCGGGTTTCAGTACAACGTATGCCCGTGGGTACTCGGTAGCCTCATCTTCGTTGTAAATGCCAATAACTGCAGAATCGTTCACGTCTGGATGCGAAAGAAGCAGATCCTCTAGCTCAGCAGGTGCCACCTGGTGGCCCTTCGACTTTATTAGTTCTTTCGCGCGGTCCACAATTGACCAGTAGTTGTCTTCGTCGACCATGGCAATATCGCCTGTACGAAACCAGCGGCCAGGCAGGAATGCCGCTTCGTTCGCTTTCGGGTTACGATAGTACCCCAAGAACACGTTTGGTCCACGAATACATAGCTCGCCAGCATGGCCTTTGGGCACGTCGTTGCCGTCCTCGTCAATAAGACGCGCCTGCTGGTGCGCCATAAGGAATCCGACTTTGCTCACTTTTTCGTCAGGACGGTTCAACTTAGTGAGATGGCTCGTGGGCGCAGTCTCTGTCAGACCATAGCCCTGAATGATAGTCGTATTCGGCAGGTTTCTCTTTACGGCATCAGCCAGCTGACGCGACAAGGGCGCCGCTCCACTGTTGATACTACGCAAAGTCTTGGAGATCTCGTCGCGCTTCTCGACGACGTACGGGTGTTTTGCAAGGAGCACAAGCACAGGCGGAACAGTCATCAGACTCGTCACTCCGTACTTGATTATATAGTCGATATAAGTCTCAAGCACAAACTTTTGCATGACAACTACTTTGCATCCAGTATATGGAGCACACATCAGCACCATAACCAGCCCGAAAATGTGCGACTGAGGTAACATCATGAGCTGAGTCTGCTGATTGTACATGAACGGTGCAATTCCTACAGACATCATCACATCAGATGCAACATTTGACTGAGAAAGCATGACTGCCTTGAACTTGCCCGTGGTTCCGGAAGAAAAGCACAGAAAAGAAGGCTTCTCTTCAAGCTCCTCGACAGTCAGAGTAATCGGAAACACGGTAGGGCCCGGAGTATCGGCAGAAAGAAGGAATTGGTCAATATCGATCACGTCTTTCATAGTGACGGTCAACCTGTCGGTCTCTTCCTCGGCATCAGCGGGTCCCATCGACAGAGCGCCTTCCACATTGGACCTAAGGTGTTTCTGTGCAAATAGTTTCTTGATTCCTGCAGTGATCAATGCATGGCGGACTTCGCCTGCTACATAGGTCATAGCGAGTGGACTGACGATTGCACCAATGGAGATACATCCGAGGTACATTGCAGTCATGAGCGCCTGATTCATGCTGTATACGCCGACTACATCGCCTTTCTTGATTCCATATTCACTTCGCAATAGATGAGCGACTCGGCCAGTGATATGGCGCAAAGCGACAATATCGTAAGACTTGTCAGTGTTCGGATCGATAAATAGAGGGTGCCCTGGAGTCGCAAGACCACGATGAAGAATTGTCTCTGCTAAGTTGATTTTAGGTGGAAGCAGAGAGAATTCTGGAGATTCATAAATGATTTCAGGCATTTCGTTAGTCAATATCGGCAAGATCTTAGTGGTTTTACAGCTATCCGACGTGGCAGGACTCTAGAAAAGTTCGGTTCAGCTGCTGAATGTCTTTATAAACCTATTAATCCGGGAAAGGACTCCCATATTAGAGTTCAAAACTGTGCGGGGAGCCTAATACGCGTTTTCTATTGGTCAAAAACAAAGTTTCAGTATCTGTATCGGAAACCCGAGGTATTATTTAGCGCTGCTATGATCGTACAACCGGATCCACGATATAATGCCGCTAAACACGCTTAGCGCTGCTACGTGCTTATTGCTTACTGCAGACAGTTCTTGCATCCTGATAGTGCTACGGTCTAGCGGTTTATATGCTACTGGGGGCCGTTGGAACGGCTATCACCTCTTCAAGATAAGCGATCGGTAGATTAACTGGTACTTTAATTCCAGACTGATACCTTAGTTTCAGACTTCCGACAACGCCTCAATTCAATCCATATACACGCAAATATTAATTTAACAATAAGCGATAAACAAAACGATAATGTTACTAGAAATTAGCAAAAAGAAATATTGACGAGTGCGAGGTTCGAACTCGCGCGGAAATCTCCAGCAGATTGCTTGAAAGCTTAAGTCTGCCGCCTTAAACCACTCGGCCAACTCGCCTTTAATAGCAGATTTTCTCCCACTGTCCGATATAAGCCCAAGATTTGCTACAATTAGCAAGTTTCTGCAGTAATGGCCTATACTCGCTCACCTTACGTGAAATTTGTGCCAAATTACGCGTAAATGTATTATGATTCAATTATATATTGTGCGTTACCGATCTTTTATAACAACCAACTTCATTGAAACATTGATAGAATTCCTGCTTGAAGGGTTTGACTTTAGACACGATGTCGGATGCAGACGCATCGGTTGAGTCTCTAAACCGATTAAAAAGGAAATGGGAGGACATAGAAAGACGATATAGTCGTAATTTCGAAGATGTTAGCGACGTGATCGATATTATGAGCGGCAAAATCATCCTGGACAATGGTCACCTGAGTTCGCTAAAAGCGTCGAAGGCCTGGGCTGAAGAAGACAGCGATCTGGACGATCGCAAAAGAATAAAATCGGCAGATCCTGTACATACAATCTTCGAAAAGATTATAATCGAGTACGAGCGATTGGCTATGGATGGGAAATTGTATAGCCAAGGCCATCGCGTAAGAATCGAATCTACAGATCAGCCGGACGAATTGGGGTGTTTAGGCACGCACAGAGACGTGTGCATGATTTCTAATGAAGATCGCGTGTATAAAGTTAAGAAGGGACTATACATCCGACGACGTGACGAGAGCTAAGTATTGCGGTGCTGCTATGCAGCTTTACTTTTCGGAGTCGGTGCGCGCAGCAGTTTCTGTCTGAACGCAGAAACTAGGAGATGTGAGACGAACGCGAGCAAGACGCAGAAAATGAGCATGAGTGTGCGCTGGAAGTGATTGAGTTTGTCGAGAAAAGGATACGGAAAGAAGTCGTTCACTGAACGCGTATGGTGAATCCAGATCCAGTACGCGAGCCCGTAAACGACATAGAACATCAGAGCGTCGGTCGAGGATATTGGGCTAGGAGACTGCGACAGTGCGATGTCGATGAGCAGCACGAGAACAGGCAGCACGTGGATCGTGAGATCGAGCGGCACAGGGATCATTTTGACGACGTTGTTGACTATAAGCGACTTGTCGTAGAACTTCAGAGGCCAATACACGCATGCTACGACGACTTCTATAGAGAAGATGGAGGCGGCGAGTTTGTCTTTTAGCGAAGTTATGAGCGCCGACTTTGTTATGTCCGCGATAGTGCCAATACAGCAAGTAACGAGCGTGACGAAGAGAGTGATATTGGTGAGGAATTGTAGTATTCCGCCATAGGCTACGCTGACGGGACTAGGATTAGTGAACATCCAGTAGAATGCCATGGTGAAGGCCGCTGCGGACGATGTGTGCAACAGCAACAGCACAGTGGATCTCGACATTATTGTGCGTTGATCGATTGCAATAAACACCTCAGGTTATTTTACGGAACAGGTCCAAGTTGCGCCTCGATCTATCCGACGCAAGTAGGATCAGAACGTGTGGGTTCCCGGCAACAATGACTTGGGGTTAGGGTAAAGGGCACAGAAAACGGGAGAAAAAAAAGGGTGAATATAGCAATAGGAGCATTACTGATATTATACGTTTGTCTATATATCTATAACTGAAGGCTATATCGAGATTACTTACTGCGATACTTGTGAGTATACGGAGCGAACGATACCGATATCATTTACGAGCATTTCAGAGCCAGTTAATAACAAGTTAGGGCTCTATCTGTAGTATTGTATATTTGAGTTCAACACAGCGTCATTGAACTTTCTTAGCAAGCGGCTAAAATTGACAAGTACAGACCTGCGAGCAAAGAAGACCTGCCATTGAAACGAAAAAGAAGCGACAAAGCTCATAGTTAATAAAGAAGAAATAATGTCCATTCCTACAGTTTATGTTTTTCCTATTGGGCACGATGACATGTCAGCGGCGTTGGCACAATACATTGCGAGTGCGCAAAAGGCATCAATTGAGCATCACGGTAGATTCAGAATTGGAATTTCTGGTGGATCGCTGGTAGAAGTAGTCGCAAACGGGCTGCTGAAAAACAAGGATATCAATTTCAACGTTTGGGATTTGTTTTTTGTTGACGAAAGACTTGTGCCTTTGACTGATCCAGAGAGCAACTATTTCCAGGTTAAAAAGTACCTGCTTGACCGCATTCCTGGCGATAAGACGAAGATGAGAGTTTTCCACATTGACGAGTCATTGTTGGACGATGCACAGGAAGTCGCCGATAGCTACGAAAAAGATTTAGTGAAGACTTTTGCCGCTAAAGATTCCGTCAAACATCCCCAGTTTGACTTGCTCCTGCTAGGTTGTGGGCCCGATGGCCACACCGCTTCGTTATTCCCTGGACACGAAGCACTAAGAGAGAGCATTGCATGGGTCACGCCGGTCGAAGACTCGCCGAAACCACCTTCACGCCGCATTACGCTGACGCTCCCTGTGCTCACTCACGGTACGCGAATTGCCTTCGTTGCCACTGGATCGTCAAAAGCCGATATCCTTAAATCGGCCCTGGAGGATTCCGAGAGCACGCTGCCCGCTTCCCTTGTAACTACAGGCGGCGGATCCAAAGTGTCTTGGTTTGTGGATGAGGCTGCGGTGGAAGGTGTTTCTATTCAGCGCAAAACCTGGAAATCTGTATAAGATACCTGCTGTGCGGATATGCCAGGCAATATACGATCTGCATGCTGGTCTAGTTGCCGTTCTGACCTCTTCTATTTTTTTAGGCATGGCATAGAGGGCTACATCACGTAGTCGTTCACGGACTATGTCTGCTGGGCGAACATATCTTACACCTGCTAAACTTCTGCATGTTCATCTATAGACTATAATATTCGTATTGTACTAATATTGTTGTTGCAGTTTTGTTTAGAGTTTTATGACGTAAACCTTATCCAGGTTGACTGACGCCGACATCGATCAAGTCAACTTTCCATATAGCAATGAAGGCCGTTAACAGACTGATTCAGGGCGTCGGTATAGGCGCAATATATTTATGTTTCGTGTTATTTGTGGTGAACAGGTACAATGTGTACACTGTGGCTGTTGTGGAGACCGGGCGGTCGCACGATGAGGTGGCTGCATCGATAGTGTACGCAATGTCGCGGTTGACTGATGTAGAAGTGTATCAGTATTATGAGAAGTCCAGGTACCAGATGGAAAATGTACTGGCCTATTTTGGCAGCCCTAATATCCACAGGGTGGCGCCTATTGGCCGGTTCTTCGGGCGTGACCACCAGACGGTCGTGGCCGTAACATGCGACGTCGATTTGTTGCATGAACCCGAGCTGTTCCAGACGGCATTTAACAATGGAGCCAAACTGATCTGTATCGTGCACTATGCTGACGTATGGTCAAAGGATAGGCAGTTGTATCGGTACCTAAAGCCGTGGCTTGAGGCGAAACGGGTCAGGATCTTCACTCTCGGCGAACACGTCAAAAACACGCTGCTCGTGATGAGTATATCAACCTGGGAAGCGCGGTTCAAGAAGGTGCCTGTAGACTATATTGTGCCGGTATTCCCGGTCCCTTATGTGTGCAACACTGGCGAGACCGAATATACAATTGTGGCTATACAGGGATTGATAGATGAACAGAAACGGAACTATGAGGAAGTATTCAATACAGTCAGCGGCGCGTCGGATATCAAGTTGCGGATCGCAGGCAGCGGGGTGAAACTCGAAACACAGGCGCGCACAAGCGAGAAGATTGAGTGGAGTATTGATTCATCCTATATGGACTATTATCAGTTCCTTGGCGAGTCTATGGCGCTGCTTCCGGCGTTCAGCTCCGAAGCCTACTACTCGACAAAAGTGTCGTCGACCATCGCGACAAGTCTGATAGTGGCTGTGCCTCTGCTCGCGATGCCCAGGTTGCTGCAAACATACCCGTTTTTGCCACCTGAATGCACCTGGACTGTCGCGTCAGATTCGGTTGCGGACGCATTTGCCGAGCTGCGCAGCTGCAGAGACCAGCTGGATGCTAGACGGGCTTGCCTGATGGAGCTTCGCAGGCAACTAATCGCAGACAATGTGAAGAAGCTGCAGTCTGCGCTATACGGGAGTGCGTCTGAGTATTTCCGTTACAAGGTGTCTAGGACACTGAAATCGAACAAAATAGAGGACATGTTGCGGAGCGATTTGTCTATTTAGGGGTTCAATTAAGAGAGATCGCAGTTAAAGGAAAATGGTGGGGGAAGGCCGCTAAGCTAAAACACCACCCAACCTGCGGCTTTATGATGCACCACGCACTCAGTTTTAGCTTTGTCCTTGCAGAGATTGCTGCCTCAAAACAAACCAAAACTATTTTTAAGAGGCTGTTTTTGCCGTTATAATTGTGCTTAGAACATTTTAGAAGATTTATAACTTCTTCTTTTTGCTTGCTTTGACTGCAGGAAAAGGAGGCGGTTCAGTACTAGTTCGCTGCACAGAAGACTAAACAACACCAGAAACCCGCATTTTGATTCAGTCCTGGATCAGGTGTACCAAGTATCGACTCTCCTACGAGGTGAGAATCCTCCGCCACTAAAGCCTTCACTTATTATGGGTTCAACTGCACAGTTTCAACAACTAGAAAAGCTTGGCGAGGGAACCTATGCCACTGTGTACAAGGGCCGCAATAGGGCGACCGGCGAACTTGTCGCCTTGAAGGAAATAAACCTGGATGCCGAGGAGGGAACGCCTTCAACTGCTATCCGCGAGATATCGCTCATGAAAGAGCTCAAACACGAGAACATTGTCGCACTCTACGACGTCATCCATACTGACAACAAGCTCAACCTCGTCTTTGAGCACATGGACCGCGATTTGAAAAAGTACATGGACGCGAACGGCAACAACGGTGCACTCGACTATAACACTACCAAAAGCTTTATGTATCAGTTGTTACGCGGGATCAAGTTCTGTCACGACAACCGGGTGCTCCATCGCGACCTGAAACCGCAGAACTTGCTAATAGACTCAAAGGGCCGCTTGAAGCTAGCTGATTTCGGCCTTGCCAGGGCGTTCGGCATACCCGTGAATACTTTCTCTA